AGGCACATTCAAGGTGAGGACTTTAGCCACTAGGTTACTGCGCCGGGCCCTATCTCCTCACTTTTAATTTCTGTTTTTATCCAAGTTATACACCAAGTGTGTATCAGCTCAGTATCCCAAGTATAAAATTAATGTGCTCGTAGTAAGGTGGTGTGCTAACAATATTCACTGCATGGAGAAGCCAGAGGGAGGTTGTTGGTAGCCTAAGTGCATGGTGTATAAGTGCATGGTGATGGAGCGTGAGCTCAGCTGTGGACTCTGGGAAGTTTCTGCTCTGTCCTCTGGAGTCCTGTGCTAGTGCAGGGGGATGCACATCGCCCACTGGAGCCCCCCATCCTGCCTTGCTGAAGGAATGGGTATCAGGGATACAGCTGCAGCTGTGGGACTGTCCGTGGAACTGCAGTGGATATGCGCGTGATCTGCTCTCCAGTTTGCTTAGCAAGAGGCCCCTGGTCTTGGCCGGCTCAATGAGCAGAGACGCTGAAGGCTGCAGACTGGGAGTGACAGAGTCACTGCTAGCCCTGGCCCTGCATCACCAAGTGGGGCTGGGCCTTGGCACCCGGGGCGCTAGCTGGCAGTGTGTGCATTGAGAAGAGGACCCTGGCACCAGGGATGCCGGCAGTGTGTGCACAGAGGAGAGACACACGTCTGTTGTTAAGAGGGCATTGCCCTGGCCACTTAGCCTGCCCTTGTTACAAGCTTGCTCTGTAACCCGGGCAAATTAAATGGGAACTGGGTGGCAACACAGGTGTGTCTGGTGGGAGCAGTGGTATGTTTCATTGGCTCTCCAGGCCTGCCCCCTGCTCTCCAGGCCCTGCCCGCTGCTCTCAGGCCTGCCCCCTGCTCTCCAGGCCCTGCCCGCTGCTCTCCAGGCCTGCCCCCTGCTCTCCAGGCCCTGCCCACTGCTCTCAGGCCTGCCCCCTGCTCTCCAGGCCTGCCCCCTGCTCTCCAGGCCCTGACCCCTGCTCTCCAGGTCTGCCCCCTGCTCTCCAGGCCTGCTGCTCTCAGGCCTGCTGCTCCAGCTGCCCTGCTCCAGCCTGCCCTGCTCCAGGCCTGCCCCTGCTCTCCAGGCCCTGCCCCCTGCTCTCCAGGCCTGCCCGCTGCTCTCCAGGCCTGCCCCCTGCTCTCCAGGCCTGCCCCCTGCTCTCCAGGCCCTGACCCCTGCTCTCCAGGTCTGCCCCCTGCTCTCCAGGCCTGCTCGCTGCTCTCAGGCCTGCCTGCTGCTCTCCAGGCCTGCCCGCTGCTCTCCAGGCCTGCGCCCTGCTCTCCAGGCCTGCCCCCTGCTCTCCAGGCCTGCCCGCTGCTCTCAGGCCCTGCCCACCTGCTGCTCTCAGGCCTGCTGCTCAGCCTGCCCTGCTCTCCAGGCCTGCGCCCTGCTCTCCAGGCCTGCCCCCTGCTCTCCAGGCCTGCCCCCTGCTCTCCAGGCCTGCCCCCTGCTCTCCAGGCCTGCCCGCTGCTCTCCAGGCCTGCGCCCTGCTCTCCAGGCCTGCCCGCTGCTCTCCAGGCCTGCGCCCTGCTCTCCAGGTCTGCCCCCTGCTCTCCAGGCCTGCCCCCTGCTCTCCAGGCCCTGCCCCCTGCTCTCCAGGCCTGCCTGCTGCTCTCCAGGCCTGCCCGCTGCTCTCAGGCCTGCCCGCTGCTCACGTACACCTGAGCAGGACAAGGTGTTGGACGGAGCGTGTGGTTTCTCACCACGCACACAGGAGGCCCACGTGGGATTTTCTGCCTGGTGTTGGCTTGCCCCAGCCCTGCCTGTCGTGTGGATTTGGGTGACATACACATACAAAGAATGTAAATAAAATTTGAGAAAATATGTATTTTAGAAGTATTTAAAATGTGTATTATAGAAAAATTTCTGTGGGTTTTCAAATAGTCTATACCAATATAAACTTTGAATCCCGTTTTCGTGACTGTGAAAGCGCCTTCGCTGCATGTGCGTGTGCAATGCGAACGTGTTACACACACATCACATGGCGCCCAGTACATCCTTTTGTATCCGTGCGTAGTGAGTGCACATGCTTCAGGGGGGGTTGTGGCTTCTCCCCCATCACCATGTCACGTATAAATCCATAGCCAAGTGTCTTTGGAAGTCCAGGGCTGTGTTTATGTCTGTGTAATGAGGCTGTCAGTGGAACCTCAACTCGGTTATAAAACTTCCACTAAGGAATGTAAGTAACTGGCTTGCTATAAACAGAGGAAAGCATTACCGTTCAGTTCAGGCCCCGTGGAACCAATCAACATGCGTTTTAAGGACTACCTTAATTTTTCCTAAATGCTGCAGCTTGCAGCTCTGTGATAATGATGTTTTGGTGTTTGGTGAACACTGCGGCTGCCTCTCTGAGCAGCAGTTCCGTTTCCTGGAGGCATTCGTGTTGGGCCAAGGCTCGCCACACGGGCTTGCTGCCGACTGGGGCCCCTTTCTCCACTTCAGCCATCTGAACACACGTAGGACTGTGGAAAGAAAACCCCCCGCATCCTGTGCCAAATCTCACAAGTTTTTCTAAGAAATAAGGTTGTGAATTACAGCTTCATATAGCTAACAGAATTATTAGCAAGAAATGATGGGTATTTCATGGGTTAAATTAGCCGGTATGTCCTTTCTTAAGAATTTGAAAACAATTCATTGCAGAAACATTATCTGAATTCCAAATGACCTACTTATGAATACAATTTAAGGAAAACATAAGCCCATTATATGTCACAAAAGGCCTGGGTACTGACGCCTCCTGTGTAATAGAAAGATTGCCAAAGTCAAGTTGGCGACCTATTTATTTAAAGCCAATTTGATTCAATGAAATTCCAGTGCGTGGTAATTGGAGCAGCCTCTGGGATTCATCTTAATATAACAGTGTCTGCCTTCAGTGAATCAGACTTCGGTGTCATCTGCGGATGAGTATCTGCTAGGCTGGGGCCACAGCAAGCGGACGTTGGGGCCAGGTGGCCTCGCGGCCTAAGCATACACTTCTTGGTTGACACGTGATCTGTGCAAGTGTTGGGTGATCCTGTCATTACTTAAACACAAGGTGTGTTTCCCATGGAGAGGTGGTGTGTGGGACGGCCACCTCCTGAAAATGGACACGCAGGAAGAGAGCCAGCTGTCCCGGACCACCCAGACCTTAAGGACACCACAAGCAAGGCCCAGGACACAGCACGTGCTCAGAATCACTGCTGAGATGTGTCATGGCCAGGACCATGTGAGAGTGAGAGTGTGGGGGTGCAAGGCCCGGACACCTGTGCCCTCTCCTGGTGCCAAAACAGCCCGTTGACATGAGCAGTGGACACGAACAGGCAGTTTCCAAAGGCCGAGATGCAAACGACCGGCACACGAAGAGAAGGCTCGGAATCGTGTGAGAGAGAGTGGCCGTCATTCAATGTGAGAAATACCAGATGTCGCTGCGGGGCTAGGGAAGTACCATGCAGTGCTGGTGGGAGCAAAGACTGGCACATCGTTATGGAAAACGGAGACTCCTCAGAGAAGTACAGAGATGTACCGTATGACCTGGCCGTTTCACTCCTGGGAATCTACCCAAAGCAGAGTTACCTGCACTTCCAAGTAGACGCTCCATTTATGGAGGAGAAGATATGGAATCAACCCACAAGTCCATCAAGGGATGACTGGAGAAAGACGATGTTCACTCGTGTGTGGTTCGTGCTTTGAATGCCCCATCTCAATAAAATGTTTAAAAATTGTTGGCAAAGACAGCTTGGCCAGCAAGGAAGCGTGGCAGGGCTCAGCAGGGGTGTTGGCTCAGCATGCTCACCCGAGCCAGGAAGTCCTGGGTGCTCCTGGGGGCTGCTCGGGAATGGGAGCCCTGCCAAGGTCACGCTCCACGACCTTGGCCCAGAACCACCTGCGGCTGCCTTTGTCGGGAACAGCCCCCTCACTGCTGTGCGCTCTCCTGGCGATGCTGAGGCCTCCTGCTGTGAACCACAGCTCCCTCTGCCTGGAGTGCTGTTACCTTCCCTGTGGCTGAAGGAAGACGTGAGTGGGGGTCCCAACAGTGAACAGTCTGGGGTGCAGAGCCCACTTACTGGGAATGCTGTGCCTTTCCCTTCAAAGAGTTGGCATGAATTAAACAGACTTGATCATAAACTCCCACACATATCTGAAATGCCTGCCAAAATATAATGACCCAACTGCAGCTTCAGAGAGCAAACGTCACTGACATCTGACCAACCGCATTCACTTGAAAGTCCATGATGAGGTGCAGATGGAAGCTGGTGGGTTGCACCTGTGTGGTGGCGAGGAGCTGTTCATGTCCAGGCGTCCCATCTGCTCTGGGAAAACTGGAGCGGGTGGACCCCAGGGGGCCTTGTGAGGATGACAGGAGGTCAAACGACAGTGGACGAGTGGTCAGAGTCCTGCTGATGTGGAGGGAGAATGTGCATGGCTGGATGGAAGGTGGAGCAGCCGGGAGGCAGCCCTTAGGGGGTCCTGGTACTTGGAGGTGAAAGAATAGCTAGTTGAGCCACCACATGGGCCCATGTGAATAGATTTTAACCATTTTAACATCAGGGACAGCAACTAGCCTGAGAATACTGTTTCTTTGTGGAGCTCATGCCTGCTTGTTGCTGGTGGACTGCCACCAGCTCCTGCATGAATTCGGAGGCTTATAGAAGGCTTACGATTCTGTTCGGCTTTAGACTCTCTTGCTAAGCTCTAACTCGCATCTTCTTGGGTGTGGAGGAAGCAGTGTTGACCTTCTCAAGGACAGCTCCTCCTAACTTTGTAGGAGCAACTGAGAAAAAACTAGGACAGGTGGACCAGAGGGTGGTGGCAGTTCTGCCTGAATCCTGTTGTGAGCCGTGCAGCCCAGTCCACTGTGACCCAAGAGCTAACACGGTCCTGGGGAGTCCCCAGAGCTGCAGCCCAGTCCACTGTGACCCCAGAGCACAGTCCTGGGGAGTCCCCAGAGCCATGCAACCCAGTCCACTGTGACCCCAGAGCACAGTCCTGGGGAGTCCCCAGAGCTGACTTGGCCCTGTGCTTACTGTCCCAACAGGGCAAAGGTGAAGAAAGGGGTTCGCATCATTGGGGTGAGAGCCAGCAGCCCTTCTGTGTGGGACGTCCAGCGGAGTGTGGAGTCCACTGCCAAGTACGCACCAGCTGTCATCGTTTGTCGGAAGAAGCTGGCTGGCTCAGACAACAGGTGAGTCTCACCTGGCCCCGCTGTGCCCAGCTCGGTGGCCGCAGCTTCCTATGTTTGCTGACTGTCTTCTCCCTGTGGTTGGCATTGGCTGCGGTCCTGGGGGTTGTGGTGCTGCGGGTGAGGTGGGCAGAGGCTTGGCTGGGGAGGCACATCTGTTCTCTGCGTGTGCCTCGTTATCTGGAAGTCCTGGGAACGACCTTGGGGATGTTGTCGCTTGGCTGACCATTGGTTCTTCAGAATGGAGGTTCTCAGTGGCTCCGCGTCCCTGGGCAGACGGAGCCACACCTGCTCTCCCACCTCCACATGGCATCTTTTAACCCATCACATCAGGTGCACCCTTTGTTTCAGATGCCCACTTGGCAAATGTCAGAAAGAAAGCAAGAGCGTGGTACAGCTCCAAGACCGAGAGTGCATCCCACGCTTGCTCTGAATTTCCGTGTCGTGTGTGTGACTGCATCTGTGTGCAGGCTGTGTGACAGTGCGCGTTCCGTGTCGTGTGTGTGACTGAGTCTGTGTACAGGCTGTCTGACGGTGCGCGTTCCGTGTCGTGTGTGACTGCATCTGTGTGCAGGCTGTGTGCCAGTGCGTGTTCCGTGTCATGCGTGTGACTGTGTGCAGGCTGTCTGACAGTGCGTGAATTCTGCTGTGGAATTAGCCAGAATGACCGGTCTCTTCAGGGAGAGCTGAAACCCAAGTCTCTCTGTGTCTGCCAAATTAGAAACGTTAGCTGGCCGCTGGACAGAGAGGGCCAGGGACTCAGCTGCTCCTGGTCTGTCCCCCTCTTCTGTGTGAACGCCCGGCAGCGTTCTGAGTGTGACCACACACCTGCATTGCATTGTGGTTGCGTTTTGTTCTTCCTAGTACAGAAAACGTGATCAGTGATGTAAGGGCAAATCTGGTAGGGAGCTTAGACTTTCCGAGCGCGTCAGTACGCATCATGGCGCTGTGTCCACAGGGCAAGCATGGAGTGGTGTGTTGCAGAGGGCAGCCATCTGCTGCCCTGGGAGAGTGCGTTGTCACCGCGGAGCAGTGCAAGGCGTGAGGAGGCTTTGTGAGGCTCCCCGGGGGCTCCTTGGTGCTGTGTGGGCTTCTCCTGTGTGACCAAGGTTTGAAGATGAATTTTATTTCTCAGTGATTTTAAGAGGAAAAAGGTGAACTTTTGCCTGGGGCCAGCCAGTGTTCTTTCTCACCGCACTGGCAGCTTAACACACGCTCAGGCAGCCGGGCGGGACGCGAGCTGGGAAGTGAAGAGCTGATGTCCCCCGGCCACATGCTGGAGGAGTGGAAGGAAGAGGCTAAAAGTAAATGGTTCTTCAGGGTAAACTGTTGGACTGTTAGGTTATGGATACACAGAATAATGGCAACTTAATATACATGTGGAAATAAGTATTGTAAATTCAGAGTATTCATTAGCATGTTCAACAGTTGTGCTCGATTCACTCTGTTTCACTTTACTCCTATCTTTAGAGACTTAAATAAGGGGACTCAGGCTCAGTATGTCAGGGCATGTCTGCAGAGCTAAATAAGGGGACTCGGGCTCAGTATGTCAGGGCATGTCTGCAGAGCTAAATAAGGGGACTCGGGCTCAGTATGTCAGGGCATGTCTGCAGAGTTAAATAAGGGGACTCGGGCTCAGTATGTCAGGTCATGTCTGCAGAGTTAAATAAGGGGACTCGGGCTCAGTATGTCAGGTCAAGTCTGCAGAGTTAAATAAGGGGACTCGGGCTCAGTATGTCAGGTCATGTCTGCAGAGTTAAGGGGATTCAGGCTCAGTATTTTGGGTAATGGTGAGTTCGGATGAGATCTGTTTCTTCAAAGGATAATTGAATAACACCTTATAGAGAGGATGTTTTAATAACATTAGGTCTTGCTTGGAAACGATTTTGCTTCATGTCTTCTTCCCATTCTCCTCGCACGTTTTTCAGTAATGCTTGCAAGTCGAGACTGATCATTGGCATGCAGGAGAGGCAGTGTTCGTTAGTTCGAGAGGCATGGCTGCGGCCTGCCGGTGATGTGCCACGGATCAGGAAGTTGTGCTAATGAAGCTCAGTCACTGTGACAGGTGTGACTTTGTGGATGAAGGAGCCCTGTGCCAGTGACGAGTTCAACAGGAGTGAGACAAGATCTCTTATCTGAGGTGGAACGTGCTGCTCTTGTCTGAGGATCCGGCGACAATGTGAGCGTCTGCACGTGACCAGGGCCGCGAGCTCTGCTGACTGAATGTCGAGGCATACATCACAGGATGGAATTAGCATAACTAATCATGCTGTGTCAGAGCTGTCTGCTTTGCTAACCTCGCTCACCCTAGCGCTGTGTCGGCTTGGTCTGCTCGCTCCACAGCTCTGGGCGCCAGTACACAGGTGTTCAGTTTTCAGGGGCTCAGGGGCTCAGATCCGCAGGGTGGAATCCATCGCCAGGACGGGCATCTGTCTTCCCTTCACTCTCCAGCGTGGCTCCGGCTCAAGGGAAGCCCCCTGCCTGGAGGGTCTTCTGTCCGAGGCCCACGACCCCTGCTCGTCGGCGCTGGCAGCACACAGCTGGAATTTGCCCTCTTCCCAGGTTGGCCTCTCCTCAGTCTGCTATGCTCAGGTGCTGTTGTTCAAGACACTGTGTTTTCACTTGAAGACACATTTTTAAAGAAGCAGCAGGGACTCCCGTACATGAAGGATGATTAAAACCCCAGATGTAGACGGTGGAGCACAGAGCATGTGCAAGCGCTGAGGCGTTCAGACCACAGCATGAGCATTAGCGTAAGGTTAAGTTTCAAAGCAAGTTAGAATGGCTTAAACCACCTGGAGGAAACTGTGAAGCAGGCAGCCCCCAGAACTGTGAGGATCCGTGGACCTGTCAGCCTTCGGCACTGGCAGTGCCTGACTCCCACCTGGTCAGTGACTGCAAGGGTACCAGCCATCGCATCAGCATTCCAGGCCAAGGAACATGACAGCAAGGCACCACGCCAATAGAGATTCCCAACATCCACTTTTCCCTCTTTGATCTCATTGGCTGCAATTTAATCACAAGATCACACCAGACTTCAAACAGGCAAATAGAGCGGTAAACATGCTTTATTACAGGCCATGTTCCCAATACAATCATGTTCTGCTCCAAAGAAGGAAGAGGGGACTGGACGGAGCTCCACACAGTGGCAAAGCAGGCTAACTCTGTGCCCTGCAATGCCAACATCCCTGCTAACTTGCCTGGGATTACAGCAAAGGACGCCCTAGTGCCCGGGCCCTGCGCCCTGGGGGAGCAGCAGAGGATGCCCTAGTGCCTGGGCCCTGCGCCCTGGGGGAGCAGCAGAGGACGCCCTAGTGCCCGGGCCCTGTGCCCTGGGGGAGCAGCAGAGGACGGCCCTGCACCCATGAGAGACAGCGGAAGAAGCTCCTGGCTCCAGCTTTAGCCCAGCTCCGCTGCAACCCTTGTGGCCATTTGGGGAGTGAGACTTCTTCCTATCTTTCACATAAAAATAAAAAGCTCCTTGGAAAACAACTTACAAAAGGTCCGACTGCACAGGATGGAACCCCAAGCACACTCGGTTTGAGTGACTTGCCGGAAACGCCAGAGGATTTCTCCCAGGATGGAGAAAAGCAGTGTGCCTGCTGCCCTCTGTCACGCTCCCAGGTTCCCACGGAAACCCGCAGAGCCCCACACTGCAGGAGGTGTCCTGAACTGCCAGACGCCAGCTGCAGCCAAGTCCGGAACTCGAGAAGGGTGTATGGAGTAGGCGTAAAGAGAAAACGGATGGACCACTGCAATTCCAGGATCATAATGGACCGTGCACGAAAGCTGTGCCTTTATTTATGCAGAAGGCGTCACAAGCTCTGGCACAGGCTTCTTACGTCATGGTGAGTGGGTGTTTCCAAGGAGAATTCTGCTGTTGGTTTCACCTTAAAGCCCTCAATGGACGACACACAAGAATCAGTAACACATTCCTACTACAATCCTCATTCTACAGCTTCGTCTTGAATCAGTTAAGGGAGGAAATGCACCGCACACGAAGGAGGAACCTAAAGATCAGGGAAGAATGGAAGAGGCTCCTGGCTCCTGGCTTCACATCGGCGCAGCTCCAGCCGGCGCGCCCGCTTGGGGAGTGAACCATCAGGCGGAAGATCTTCCTCTCTGTCTCTCCTCCTTTCTGTAAATCTGACTTTCCAATAAAAATAAATAAATCTTTACAAAAAAATAACCCTCACAGAGGACCTGGGTGTGCACAGAGAACTTGGATGAAAGATCCAGGCCTGCACCTCAGTGCACACGTGCAAGAAGCTCGCAGAGCCTGCGCGGACTCCCTTCTGGCCAGGGAGCTGCAGTGACAGTGAGTCATGGGCGAAGAGGGACTCGGGGAAGGCAGAGAAATATACAGGCTTTTAGAAAGTAAGGATGGGGGATGGGAAGCCTTGGAAATGAGAGTTCCTGCATGACACTTAAGTGATATTGAAATCTGGAGAACATTCTTGAGTGAACAAAGTAAGCGTCATGAAGAGAGAGCAAGCGCTGTGGGAAGAGGCCACTGCGGAAGTGGGAAGGAGTTGACAAGCACAACGGCCACGAGGCTGGCCTGGCCAAGGCAGGAAGAATGGACACGTTCAATGGCCTTGGGGCTGGACACGGGGAAAGGAAACGCAGGAAAGGAGGCAACCAGTGAGAACAAAGAGAAACTTCAAGAGGCTGAACTAGAAAGTGAAACTGAGAGTGAAATCCCTGAAGATGCGTCTGAGCGGATCATGAGAAGGAGAAGTGACAGAGGTGCAGGTGGCCATGGCGGTTCTGTACTGGGCATGCACACAAGAGGACTGGAGCAGAGGGTGCACACAGCCCACTGTGGGGTTCGTGAATGTAACCAGAAGGTGGCAAGGACCCCAAAGTCAAACCCTGGCAGGTCCAGCAGAGGTAGCTTATCCAGTTGGGAAAGCTATCAGCAGTTCAGGCGGAGCAGCATGGGTGAGTCTTGAGGCTTCGTGCCGCGTAAAGTCCATCGGAAGACGGGCTGTGTGTGTACA